GGGGTGTCGTTCATTATCCCACTCGTGGTGGTGGTCGTTACATTTATTTCCTTCGTGTGGTTAGTCGTTGTTCATTCCCTCAGTGTGGTAGGCTCGTTCATTACCCTCAGTGTGGTAGGGCCCGTTCATTCCCTGTGTGGAGTTCGCTTCATTCCCGCTCGTGTGGTGGGGGTCGTTTCATTCCTTCGGTGTAGGGTTGTTTCAATTCCCTCGTGTGGTAGGTTGTCATATCCTCGTGGTGTGGGTCGTTTCATCTTCCACTCGTGTGGTGGTTCGTTCATTCCCTCGTGTGGTAAGGGTGCAGGACTTCGTTCATTCCCGTGTGGTAGGGTCGTTCCATATCCTCGTGTGGTGGGGTTCTTTCCCCCGTGTGTGGGTGTTTCATTCCATTCGTGGCGTGGTAGGTCGTTCATTTATGCATTATTCTTAATTCCCTCGTGTGGTAGGGTCGTTCGTTTCCTCGTGTGTAGGGTCGTTCTTCCCCTCGTGTGGTAGGTCGTTCATTCTTCGTGTGATGGGTCGTTTCATGTTCCTTGTGTGGTAGGTGCGTTCAATCTTCCCCTCGTGTGGTAGGTGTCGTTCATTCCCTCGTGTGGTGGGTCGTTCGTTCCCCTCGTGTGGGTAGGTGTTCATATCCCGTGTGGTGGGTGTTTCTCCCTGTAGTGGTAGTGTCGTGTTCATTCCCTGTGTGGTAGGTCGTGTCTATCCCTCGTGATGGTGGGGTCGTTCATTTATTCCCTCGTTGTAGTGGTAGGTCGTTTATTTATTCCCCTTCGTGTGTAGGTCGTCTCATTCCCTCGTGTGTGGGTCGTTCATTCCGCTCCGTGTGGTAGGTCGTTCATTTCCGCTCGTGTGGTAGGTCGATCATTCCCTTCGTGTGGTAGGCGTCTTATCCCCTACGTGTGTGGTCGTTTCATTTCCCTCGTGTGGTAGGATTGTTCATTCACCTCGTGTGGTAGGGGTGTTCATATTTCCCTCGTTGTGGTGGGTCCCCCCCCCGTTCATTCCCCTCGTGTGTAGGTCGTTCAATTCCCTTCGTGTGGTAGGAGGTGTTTATTTCCCCTCGCGTGTGGTGGGTGTTCATTCCCCTCGTGTGTAGGTCGTTTATTGCCCTCGTTGTGGTGGTCGTTCATTCCCCTCGTGTGGCAGGGGGTCGTTTTTTATTCCACTCGTGTGGTGGGTCGTCTTCATTCCCATCGTGTGGTAGGTCGTTTCTCCAATTTCCCACTCGTGTGGTAAGGTCGATCATTCCCACTCGTGTGGTAGGTTGGTCGTTCACTCCTCGTGTGGTAGGTCGTTCATTCCCCGCGTGTGTGTGTTCATTCGCCCTCGTGGGTGTAGGTCGTTCTTCCTCTCGTGTGGTGGTGTTCATACTCCCTCGTGGTTGGTAGGTGTGTTCATTCCCTCGTGTGGGGTCGTTCTTTTTCCCCTCTGTGCTGGTAGGTCGTTCATTCCACTCGTGTGTAGCTCGTTCAATTCCCTCGTGTGGTAGGGGTAGGTCGTCTCATTCACTTCGTGTGGTGGTCGTTCATTCCTCGTGTGGTAGTCGGTGTTCTTCCCCCTCGTGGTGGTAGGTCGTTCTATTCCCTCGTGTGGGTGGGTCCGTTTCTTCCTCGTGGTGGTGGGTCGTTCTTTCCTTCGGTGGTTGGGAATGGTTCATTCCCTCGGTGTGGTAGGGATCGTTCATTCCTTCGTGTGGTAGGTCGTTCATGTCCCTTCGTGTGGTAGGAGGTGTTCATTCCCCTTCGTGTGGTGGGCGTTCATTTCCCTCGTGTGGTGGTCGTTCATTCCCCTCGTGTGGTATTCCTAGGTCGTTCATTCCTCGTGTCGTGTGTGGTAGGTCGTGTGTTCATTCCTTCGGTGTGTGGGTCGTTCATTCCCCTCGGTGGCAGGTCGTTCATTCCCCTCGTGTGCGTAGGTGTTCATTCATCCCTCGTGTGGTAGGGTCGTTTCATTTCTTCGTGTGGTAGTGTCGTTCATCCCTCGTGTGGTAGGTCGTTCATTGTTTCTGTGTGGTAGGTCGTTCATTTCCCTCGTTGTGGTAGGTCTCATTCCCCTGTGTGGTAGTTCGTTCATTCTCCCTCGTGTGGTGGGTCGTTCATTCCCCGTGTGTGGGTCGTTCATTCCCTCGTGTGGTAGGTCGTTTCATTTCCCTCGTGTGGTAGGTCGTTCATTCCCCTCGTCGTTCATCCCTCGTGTGGTCGGGTGTGGTCGTTCTTTCCCCTCGTGTCATTCCCCTCGTGTGGGTCGTTCTTCTCCCCTCGTGGTGGTGTCTTTCGTTCCTCGTGTGGCAGATCGTTTCATTCCCTTCGTGTGGTGGGTCGTTCATTCCCCTCGTGTGGTAGGTCGTTCATTCCCCTCGTGTGGTGGTTCAGGTCGTTCATTTTCCCCTCGTGTGGTAGGGTAGGTCGTTCATTCCCTTCGTGTGGTAGGTCGTTCATTCCCTCGTGTGGTGGGTCGTTCATTTTCCCCTCGTGTGGTAGGTCGTTTCATTCCCCTCGTGTGGTGGGGTCGTTCATTCCCTTCGTGTGGTGGGTCGTTCATTCCCCTCGTGTGGTATTCCTCGTGTGGTATTCAGTGTGGTGGGTCGTTCATTCCCCTCGTGTGGTGGGTCGTTCATTCCCTCGCTCGGTGTGGTCGGTCGTTCATTCCCTCGTGTCGTTCATTCCCCTCGTGTGGTAGGTGTTCATTCCCCTCGTGTGGTGGGTCGTTCATTCCCCTCGTGTGGTAGGTCGTTCTTCCCCTCGTGTGGTGGGTCGTTCTTCCCTTCGTGTGGTGGTCGTTCATTCCCTCGTGTGGAGGTCGTTATTCCCTTCGTGTGGTAGGTCGTTCGTTCCCGTTCGTCATTCCTCGTGTGGTGGGTCGTTCATTTTCCCCTCGTGTGGTAGGCCGTTCATCCCTTCGTGTGGTGGGTCGTTCATTCCCTCGTGTGGTAGGTTCGTTCATTCCCCTCGTGTGGTAGGTCGTTCATTCCCTTCGTGTGGTAGGTCGTTCATTCCTTTCGTGTGGTAGGTCGTTCATTCCCTCGTGTGGTAGGTGTAGGTCGTTCATTCCATTTCCGGTGGTAGGTCGTTCATTCCCCTCGTGTGGTGGGTCGTTCATTCCCTCGTGTGGTGGGGTCGTTCATTTCCCCTCGTGTGGTAGGTCGTTCGTTCCCCTCGTGTGGTAGGTCGTTCATTCCTGTGTGGTAGGTCCGTTCATTCCCTTGTGTGGTAGGTCGTTTCGTGTCCCCCTCTGTGGTAGGTCGTTCATTCACTCGTCGTTCCCTCGTGTGGTGGGTCGTTCATTCCCCTCGTGTGGTAGGCCCCTTGACCATAATAGACGAAATTCACCACTGGTCGAAGGGCGGTCGTCGATAAAGCCAGCGGAATGCACGCTTGCATTTGCAACGGTGCTGCGTGAGGTTGCAGACCAGGGTGTGGCTACTGCGGGGTGTGTGCGTGTGTGTGCGTGCGTGCGTGCGTGTGTGCGTGTGTGCGTGTTTAGTATGTATATGTGTATGTGAGAGGCAGAGAGGAAACGGAGAGAGAGAGAGAGAGAGAGAGAGAGAGAGAGAGAGAGAGAGAGAGAGAGAGAGAGAGAGAGAGAGAGAGGAGAGAGAAGAGAGAAGAGAGATGAGAAAGAGAAAGAGAGGATGAGAGAGTGAAAGAGGATGTGAAAGAGAGAGAGTGAGATTAAGAGTGAGAGTATTAGAACGATCCTTTGTAAATATGAGTAAGGGTATAGATATGAGGTTGTATGAGCGCGAGAAAGAGTTACAAGCATAAACGTCAATGAGAACAAGTGTGCGTGTGATTGCGTGCGAGTAGGAGAGAGTAGGTGGGGGTGGGGCTGTCTACCAAGCACAGCACGAGCACGAGGTCGGGCGACGCGAGGAGGAGGGTGTGGCGAGCGCGGCGGCGGAGTGGTGTATGGCCGAGTAGGGAGCGCGGGATGGTAGTCTTGAGAAGCGAGGTATTGATTCATCCCCTGGTAGCACGGCTGCCGCGGGTTGCTCCTTAAAGACGACTTTCTGGCCCCGACCGCCGCCTGCCATCCAGCGGGCCGCACGTCCGGACCGCTTGTTCGCGAGGGGGGGGGGGGAGGTAGCGTTCACCCAAGGTCGCGAACCGGGCCAGCGCTCATCGAGGGGCGTTCAACGGGCCGGTTTGGGACCCTCGCTGGCCAAGGGCTTCATTTGAGGGACTTGTGGCAGCCCGCTCCCCCGGTCTCCCTCCCCGTGTTGGGTCTGGTTCGTACCCTGAGCTCGGGTGGAGAGGCCGGCGAATGAATGAATGGGTCGGGGAGTCGGAAGGGTGAATGAGCGGCTGGAACGACGTGGATGCTGTTTGTATTCCGGGTTGGCGGGAGGTGTGGATGAGGGCGGCGCGGCGCTTGCTAAATGGATAATTGGATATCAGGTTAGCGCCACTTTATCGTGTGCTGAATGGATGTTAGTGTGAGAGGATAATTGCGATGATTACTTAAGACTGTAGCGATGTCAGCTGGCAGCTACAGGAACCACCTGAAGAAGAGCAGCGTTTAAGTCCTTGTGGCATTTTTGTGTTTACATATGTTTACGCGTGTGCTGGCGTGCGCGCGAGCTCTTATATATACTTTTAAGATGTACACATTCACTTAGTTTGTTTTTGGTATATATGTATCATTGTAACTGATTTTCATGGGGTGTGTAAAGAAGACATACACATTCTTTCCCCTTCTCTCTCTCTCTCTCTCTCTCTCTTCTCTCTCTCTCTCTCTCTCTCTCTCTCTCTCTTCTCTCTCTCTCTCTCTCTCTTCTCTCTCTCTCTCTCTCTCCCTCTCTCTCTCTCTCTATCTTCTCCCTCTCCTCCCTCTCTGTCCCTCTCCCTCCCTCTCCTCCCTCTCTCCCTCCCTCTCTCCCTCTCTCCCCCTCTCCTCCCCCTCCTCCTTCCCCCATTCTATAATTCACATTCCCTCCTTAAGCTTAACCAAAACAAATGCAGCTTATTAACTATCTTTTTTTTCTCCTCCGCTTTCAGGATTATTCACGAGTCTGGGTTCACGAGCGAAGACTTCAAGCAGTACCGGCCGGTGGTTTACTCCAACACCATCCAATCGCTGGTGGCCATTCTCCGAGCCATGCCCAACCTCGGCATTTCCTTCGGTAACAACGAGCGGGAGGTGAGTGTTGGAGAAGAGCCGGCTGCCGGTTTATTTTGGATTTATTTGTTTGTTTTCTGATTGGTAGTTTTGTTTTTTTTGGGTCGTTTTTATTTTTATTTGTTTGTTTATTTTCTGATTGGTAGTTTTGTTTTTTTGGGTCGTTTTTTTATTTTTTTTTTGTTTGTTTATTTTCTGGTGGTGGTTTGTTGGGTCGTTTTTTTTGCGTGTAGTTTGGTTTGATTTTCTTTTTTACTGTGATTTGTTTGGGAATTAGAGGGTGTAGTTAGTTGAGTAGCAGACTGCATGTTTGGTAATCACAGGTTGTAGTTTGCCAGTTAATCATGGCGTGTAGTTCGATAATCCTTAACCAGTAATTATCTCGACTTTCTCTAGAAAAAAAAATCCCTTTCGGTCCCACTATTTTAAGCAGCCGTTCCACATTCAAATGAAATCTGCATTCGAAGTACGAGCGACGTCTGCTTAAGCCCGCCGATCCCCGACGTGCGCACGCTCTCGCAGGTGCTTACTCACTAACACGTCCCTTCACGACACGCGCGGGATAAGCTCGTGTTGGATGACGTCACGGCTTTGCATTTGTGAACAGCGTTTGCACACGACCCGCATCCGAAAGAGGAAAAATGGGTTTGATAAATTTCGTTCATACATGGAGGAAAGTGTGAATTAAAAGCTCATGGGAAAGATGAGCGAATTACGGGAAAAAAAAAGGAATAAAAGATGGCCGACTGCTCTCATCCTCTCCCAATCCAGACAAAAAAATAGTAAAAAACGTAAAAAAATCGATTAAGAAAATGGAAAAAAGACGAGCAAAGAAATCTCAAAGTAAAAGATGAAAAAAAAGAAGAGATAAAAGGGACGCGGCAAGAAGGAGAAGCCGAGAGAAACTTGCTATGGATATTTTCTTTTGACAAGAGTTGACAGCTGGCGAGGGGAGAAGTGAAGGGCGACTCTGGAAGGGCTTCGAAGGGGAGGGAACTTGGACGACTTGTTAAGGGGAGAAAATAGAAAATGTAGAATGAAGGAGAGAGGAGAGGAGAAGGATGAGAGGAGAAGGAGGAATGAGAGGAGAAGGAGAAGGAGAAGGAGGAGGAGGAGAAGGAGACGGAAAAGGGTGAGAAGGAGAAGAAGGAAAAGGGGGAGAAGGATAAGGAGAAGGATGAGAAGGAGAAGGGTGAGAAAGAGAAGGAGAAAGATTATAAGGAGGACGAAAAGGAAGAGGAAGACGAGGAAGAAGTGGGAGACCGGATAGAAAGAGAAGGGAGGAGATTAACAGTATATAGTAGAATGAGAGAGAGGTGGAGAGAAAGATAAATAGAGAGAGATAAAGAAAGAGGGAGAGAGAGAAAGAGAAAGAGAAAAAGAAAAGAGAGAGAAAGAGAAGAGAGAGAGAGAGCAGCAGCAGCGAACAGAGGAGACAAGGTAGCGAGAGGAAAAGGGGGGGGGCGGCCGTCTCTTATCAAGCAGCAGCGTGCCATATCAAGGGAAGGAATCTCATGCATTGCTGTGCGAAAGGTTATGCTCGGCTAGCTGGGCGGAGGAGGAGGAGGAGGAGGAGGGAGGAGGACCACCGGTGGGCGGCAGAAAAACGGTGGGCGGGCTGTGCAGGAGGCAGGGTGAGAGTGCCTGTAGGAGGCGGGGTGAGGGTGGGCGGGCTGTGTGCAGGAGTGAGGGTGGGCGGCTGTGTGCAGGAGGCGGGTGAGGCGGGTAGGAGGCGGGGTGAGGTGGGCGGGGCAGGAGGGGAGTGAGGGTAGGCGGGGTGAGGGTGGGCGGGCTGTCCAGGAGTCAGGGTGAAGGTGGGCGGGATGTGCAGGAGGCTGAGTGAGGCTGGGCGGTCTCAGGATCGGGGGAAATTGAGGAAGGGGGAGGGGGAGGAGGGATGCACATGCAGTGGGGAAATTTGGAAAGGGCGGGGAAGGAAGAGAGGAGTGGTTCATGGGTGGAGTTTGTTAGGAAATTTACTCTCCGCGTGGGGGGGGGGGGGGGAATGGGCCGAAACTTCTCCCCTGTCGACGGGGTTCCATCGTCGCACAGGGAGTGGGGATGATGGAAAATTGCTCAGGGAGTGGGGAAAAACGAGGCTCGGAGTGGGGACGCTGGAAAGTTGCACAGGGAGTGGGGACGCTGGAAGGTTGCACAGGTAATGGGAGAAAACGAGGCTCGGAGTGGGGACGCTGGAAAGTTGCACAGGGAGTGGGGACGTTGGAGAGTTGCACAGGGAATGGGGACGCTGGACAGTTGCCCAGGTAATGGGGAGAACGAAGCTCGGAGGTTCCTCGTCGCGGGGACGGTTGCTCGCGCGGGGAATGGGGAATTTAAATGAGAAGACGAAAAAGAAAAAAAGTCCAAACTACACCGAAACTTCGAGAGGCAAAAGATACAGTACACAGGGAATGGGGAAGAATACACCGTGGACAGAATAATCAAATACGTTACAAAGAAAACAAAGAATAACAAAAAAACACTTAATAGGTAAATAAGTAACGAAATAAAAGAACACAAAGGGAGACACGAATTCATTACAAAGAAAGAAAGAAAGAAACAAAGAAAACACACTTAATAGGTAAATAAGTAACGAAATAAAAACCACAAAGGGAGACACGAATTCATTACAAAGAAAGAAAGAAACAAACAAACAAAGAAAACACACTTAATAGGTAAATAAGTAACGAAATAAAAAACCACAAAGGGAGACACGAATTCATTACAAAGAAAGAAAGAAACAAACAAAGAAAACACACTTAATAGGTAAATAAGTAACGAATAAAACCACAAGGGAGCACGAATTCCGCTCATAATACCGCCCAATTACACCGGCAGAGACAAACCCGAGAGGAGAGGGGGCGGGGCGTTGCGCAGTGTCCTAAGGAGAGAGAGAGTACCATGACACGCCATCATCCAACCCCCCCCCTCCTCCTCCTCCACCCCACCCCCCTCGTACCCGGCTCAACATACCTATTGCAACATACGGCCGTGTGAATGAGATTAATTAGCTTACCTTGCAACCCCCGCGCTCGATGCACACGTGTATCTAGGCTACTGTCGTTTAGGGATTATTTTCTCTCTTTCTCTTCTCTTTTTCTCTCTCTTTTCTCTCTTCTCTCTCTTTCTCTCTCTTTCTCTCTTTCTCTTCTTTCTCTTCTCTCTCTCTTTCTCTCTCTCTCTCTCTCTTCTCTCTCTCTCTCTCATCTCTCTCTCTCTCTCTCTCTCCTCTCTCTCTCTCTCTCTCTCTCTCTCTCTCTCCTCTCTCTCTCTCTCTCTCTCTCACTCTCTCTCCTCTCTCTCTCTCTCCTCTCTCTCTCTCTCTCTCTCTCTCTCTCTCTCTCTCTCTCCTCTCTCTCTCCCCCTCTCTCTCTCACCCTCTCTCTCTCCCTCTCTCCTCTCTCCCTCCCTCCCTCCCTCCCTCCCTCCCTCCCTCCCTCCCCCTCCCTCTCCCTCTCCCCTCTCCCTCCCTCTCCTCTCCCTCTCTTCCCTCCCCTCTCCCTCCCCTCTCCCTCTCCTTCTATCCCTCTCACTTCTCTTTTCTCTTTCTTATTTCCTTTTTTCCTTTTTTATACGAACAAAGGACGCTTCCATGGTTACCGCTTACCGCTCTTGTCGAGGCGCGACCCGACAAAGGGAGGAAAATGAATGAGCCGTATAAAATTATTCTGGAATCGTTAAAAAAAAACGGTCTTTTATGCGTGGTTGAGGGAAATGGTGAGGTGGGGGGGGAGGAGGAAGGAGGAGGAGGAAGAGGAGGGAGGAGGAGGAGGAGGAGGAGGAGGGGGAGGGAGAAGAGGGAGGAGGAGAGGGGGAGGAAGGGAGGAGAGGAAGAGAGGAGGAAAGGGGAGGAGGAAAATAGGAGGGAGGAGGAGGGGAGGAGTCACGTCACAGTATCGATTTTTATATTATTATTATTATTACTATTAGTAGTAGTAGTAGTGGTAGTAGTAGTAGTAGTATCATTATCATTACTACCTTCAACATTATCATTATTATTATGATTATCATTATTATCACTATCATTATCATTATCATGTATTTCTGTGTGAGACTATTCTTTCGTTGTAAAGTATGTAGTCATATGTAAGTCTATCTGCCTACACATAGCCTGCACTTCATACATACATACATACGTTTCACTCACAACTGCCTGTTTTTTGCCGACAGGAATTCTGTCTGGGTTTGGATGTTTTTTTTTCTCTTCTTCCACCTCTCCCTCTTCCGCCTTTATCTCTCTCTCTCTCTACCTCTACCTCTACTTCTACTGCTTCTCATTCGTTCTTCTTCTTCTCTCCTTTTCTATTTAATTATACTCTTTTCTCTCTACTCTACTAACTACTACTACTACTACTACTATTACTACTACTACATTCTTCTTCTGCATTTTTCTTCTTCCTTTTTCTTTTTTATTTATTTTCTCTTTTTCTTTATTCTTCTTCATTGTCGTCTTCATCTTCTTCTTCTTCTTCTTCTCTCCCTTTTCCTTCTTTGTCTCGTCAAGGGTGTCTTCAATCCCCGCTCGTTTGACTCTTATTTTCTTGCGTGTTTTTCCCGTAATTTTCCTTCTTGCGTTGCCTCTTCTCCTTTGTTCCCTTATTTTTCCTTTCCTCTCATCCACTTATTTCTCTGCGCTTCATTTACCGTTACTTTCCCTTCTCTCCCTACTCCTCCCATTCCCCACCCCTCCTTTCTCCTTCCCTTCCTCTTTCTTCCCCTACGTTCCTTCATCTCCCTGTACCTTCTTTTCTTCTCGCCCCCTTTTATCTCTTTCTCCTCCTCTTCTCTCTCTCTCCTCCCTTTCCTCTCCTTCTCTCTCTCTCTCTCCTCTCCTCTCCTCTCCTCTCCTCTCCTCTCTCTCCTCTCCTCTCCTCTCCTCTCCTCTCCTCTCCTCTCCTCTCCTCTCTCTCCTCTCCTCTCTTCCTCTCCTCTCCTCTCCTCCCCTCCACATTTTATATTTCGTGCGCGGAAAGTTTTTCTTTTCATTAAAATTCTTGTGTAGCGTTTTTTACCCTCTCTTGGGTGGTTTGCCGCGGATTGTGCTGTGATAGCAATAACAGAGTTGTTTTTGTTAAGAGTTAGGCTAAAAACCCGATGTCGGTGATGATAATTACGATTATTATTTTAACGATGAGGTCGGGGCTTAATTAGCGGCTTAATCACGGAGGCGGAAAGAAATGTTGATCAAAGGAAAGATTAAAAGGTAAAAGAATTAAGGTTTTGATATCCCAATTTTGCCGGCCCGAGGCGCACGTTGCAATGGAATGAATGCCCAGTTAGCCACATTTCCTAATGTAAATAGGCAGGTTAGCTCTGTCCAGGGTACAAATGCACTCGCAAATATGCAATTTCAACACTATCAGATGCAAATAAACTCGTTTTTGCAATCGTTGAAAATATACGTTCATAGATCGCTGCTGCGTTTGCACTTTTGATAGGTATCAACATGACTGTATTTGAAAATGAAATCAGCTGATTCCCATGGCTGTATTTGAAAATGAAATCAGCTGATTTTCATGGTTGTATTTGAAACTGAAATCGGCTGATTCCCATGGCTGTATTTGAAAATGAAATCAGCTGATTCTCATGGCTGTATTTGAAAATGAAATCAGCTGATTCTCATGGCTGTATTTGAAATGAATCAGCTGATTCTCATGGCTGTATTTGAAACTGAAAATTCTCATGGCTGTATTTGAAATGAAATCAGCTGATTCTCATGGCTGTATTTGAAACTGAAATCAGCTGATTCTCATGGCTGTATTTGAAACTGAAATCAGCTGATTCTCATGGCTGTATTTGAATATGAAATCAGCTGATTCTCATGGCTGTAAACTGAAATCAGCTGATTCTCATGGTATTTGAAATGAAATCAGCTGATTCTCATGGCTGTATTTGAAAATGAAATCAGCTGATTCTCATGGCTGTATTTGAAACTGAAATCAGCTGATTCTCATGGCTGTATTTGAAACTGAAATCAGCTGATTCTCATGGCTGTATTTGAAATGAAATCAGCTCATGCTGTATTTGAAAAATCAGCTGATTCTCATGGCTGTATTTGAAATGAAATCAGCTGATCTCATGCTGTATTTGAAAATGAAATCAGCTGATTCTCATGGCTGTATTTGAAAATGAAATCAGCTGATTCTCAAATCTGATTCTCATGCTGTTTGAAACTGAAATCAGCTGAGCTCAGCTGATTCTCATGGCTGTATTTGAAAATGAAATCAGCTGATTTCATGAATTTGAAACTGAAATCAGCTGATTCTCATGGCTGTATTTGAATATGAAATCAGCTGATTCTCATGGCTGTATTTGAAACTGAAATCAGCTGATTCTCATGGCTGTATTTGAAAATGAAATCAGCTGATTCTCATGGCTGTATTTGAAAATGAAATCAGCTGATTCTCATGGCTGTATTTGAAATGAATCAGCTGATTCTCATGGCTGTATTTGAAACTGAAATCAGCTGATTCTCATGGCTCAGCTGATTGGCTGAAAATGAAATCAACTGATTCCCATGGCTGTATTTGAAAATGAAATCAGCTGATTCTCATGGCTGTATTTGAAACTGAAATCAGCTGATTCTCATGGCTGTATTTGAAAATGAAATCAGTTGATTAAAATAGGTGAGGGTGTCAAGAGACGAGGATGATTGTAGGGTTAAATACTGTGTTTATGATCTTGCAAAAACACGTGATGGATATTTATACTGTGTCACATTCCGGCGTGTTTACGTGGAGTTAGTTTACGGCGTTTTAATTCACCACCGTTGTATGGAATCGCCGTTTTGTACATAGGATTGACCCCTTTGTCTGAGGAAGTGTACGTATGTGCGGCCAAACCCAGGCTGAGCTAAGGAACGACTTTGCTTGGTCACGATGTCTTTCTTTGCCTTTGTAACTGGAGAACAGCATCCTTCTCCTCTCATCTCCTCTCTCCCCTCCCCATTCCTTCCCTCCTCTACTCTCCTTTCTTCTCCTTTCTCTCCTCTCTTCCTCTCCTCTTCTCCTCTCTCTCCCCCTACTCTCCCTCTCTCTCTTCTCTTTCCCCTCCTCTCCTCTCCTCTTCTCCCTCCTCTCCTCTCACCCCTATTATACTCTCCTCTCCCTTCCTCTATCTCTCTCTCCCTCCTTTCTCCCCTTCTCTGCTCTCCTTCCCTCCTCTCCTCTCTCCTCTCTCCTCTCCTCTCCTCTCTTCTCTACTCTCATCTTCTCTACTCTCATCTCTCTCTTCCTTCTTTCCTCCTCCTCTCTACTTTTTAAAATCAGTCGATCATCTTAAATCCGTCGAAAACTCCCTCCTTCCTCGCGGGCAGCAGGCAGATGTTTCTTTAATTGGAGGCGAGGTCAGGTCGAGAAAAGGTCACCTGGACTTTTATTCAGTCTCTCCGAAAGTATTCATTTATTTATTTATTTACGTGGAGTGGCAGGCTGTGGGTTCACTCTAAATGTAATTGTGATTGCTATTTCGCCCAGCTAGGACCCCCTACACACACACATGAACAAACATCACATATTGACACACACACACACATTCACAAACACACACAAGAAACACATACACAATCATGACACAACCAAGACACTCACACAAGCTCCGACACTCACACATCACATGACGTACTCACACACCTCAACACTCCACGTCGTGATGACACCGTGGTCTCCACTCACACTCACACACTAGAGTGTGCAGCTCACACCCACACA